CATTCCTCTCTCCTCTTTCTTCCTCTCTAATCTCTCTCTCTCCGTCTTTCTTCCTCTCCTCTCTTCTCTCTGTCTCCCTCTCTCTCTTCTTATCCTCCTCTTTCTCTCTATTCCTTCCTCTCTCTCTCATTCTATTCTCTCTTTCTTCCTCTCCTCTCTGTCTCTTTCTTACACCCCTCGTCAGTCTCTCGTTTCTTGTTATCGTCTCTCTTTTTTAATCCTCGCACCTCTCTCTCTCTATCTTTCTTCCCCTCTCTCTCTCTCTTTTCTTTCTTCCCCCGCCCCTGCTCTCTCTCTCTTTCTTCCCCTCTCATCATCTCTCTTTTCTTCCTTCCCCCTCTTTCTCTCTCCCTCCTCCTCAGCCTCTCCAGCTCCTCTTCCCTCTCATCTCTCCTCGCCTCCCCTATTCTCTTCCTCTCCTCGCTCCTTCTCCTCTCCCCGCTCTCTCTCTCTCAATACGTCTCGCTCTCTCTCTTTTCCCCCCCACCCCGACCGCCTCCTCTCTCTCTCCCTCTTTCTTTCCCTCTTCTTCCTATTCCTCTGCTCCTCCCCTCTTCGTCGCTCCTCTTTCTTCCCACTCTCTCTCTTCTTTCTTCTTTCTTTCTCCATTCCTCTCTTTCCTTCTTTCCTCTCTATATCGTCTGTCTTCTTCCCCTGTCTCTCTCATTCCTCTCTATATTCTTTCTTCCCCCTCTCATCTCTCTCCTTCCCCACTCCTCCTTTCCTCCTCTCCTCTTTCACATCTCTCCCGTCCTCTCACTCTCTCTCTCTCGCTCTCCCTTTCTTCTCTCTCGGTCATCTCTTTCTCCGCCCCCTCTTCTGTCGCGTCTCTCTTTTCTCTTCCTCTCTCTCTCTCTACACTTCTATCTCCTCCTTCTCTCTTTTCTTCGCTCCCCCCGTCCCCCTCGTTCGGCCTCGCCCTCTATTCATCTCTTTCTGCCCGACGTGGTTATATGAGAAAATGAATTAAATATTGATGATACCTATATTGACATAACATAATACAGTTACGAAGTGGAATTGCAACTGATAATCTGTCTTGCACGATTTTGAGGGGAAAATCTCCTGGAAAACTCTAGTTGGAAACTGTTTCACGATAAGCCCCGCCTCTTTTTTTTTTTTTACTAGAAAGTATAAATTTAGTTTTTTTTTCACCGTTGTTGTTGTTCTGTTTGTGCTGTTCTTATTTATTATTACATTGTTATTATATTATCAATTATTTCCATATTTCTGATTTCCATTTGTTTTAGCTATATATCTTCTGTCAATACAGCGAAAAGTTATTACAAAGCAATAATAAAGACAACCATTAAACAAAAACATAGAACTGAATGTGGGAATGGGAGTGATTTTAAGAAAACTAATTTTCAATCAATACAATAAATATTAAGAAACATAAACTTAAAGCTTTCTAAAAGTGACATTGTCCCTATAACAAAAAAAAAAAAAAAAAAAAAAAATATATATATACTAATGATTATAATAATAATAATAAATTATAGATAAAATAATAATAGAATTATATACATGTGAAATAACACTGAATTATGTTATGGCACATTATATTATAACACTCAGAAAATAGCGAATAAATCAAAATAAGGAAAAAAAAAAATATATAATTTATAATATAATTGAAAAAGGTGCCTTGGATTATAAAATATTTTGAAATGTACAAAATGGACATGAATATATTATATCCAAGAACTGTAAAAGATTTTAACAGTTGAGTAGTTATATTGTAATAAAGTTTAAGAATGGATGAAAAAATTTATGGATTAGGACAAGAAGATAAAAAAGAATTAATAATATTTAACACTATTCATTAGCTTTCAAGGAATACGGTTTTTCGCCCTTCTGCACACACGCGGCACGTGGACAAAGGGGGAGGAGGTAAGTGACGTCAGCCAAAGTAGCAATCAGGAACGCCCGCTTATTGCAGTATGGCCTAGAACATATATTTTTTTGTATTTATCGGGGTTTAGGAGTTTTTATAAAATATACAGTTTTTCGAAACATTTTTCTTTCGTTACTAGAGCTTAAGCATTGAATGTCAAAAGAAACTGTATTTCTCTTATCTTTTCGATATGGTATAATTGGAGAATCCTAAAACCTCACCACACTTTCATTTTTGCCTTGGTGTTCGTGAGTGGTGTGTGTGTATGTGTGTGTATGTGTACGGTTATGTGCACGTGTGTGTGGTTTGTGTGTGTGTGCGTGCATGTGTGTGTGGTGTGTGTGTGTGTGTACGTGGTGTGTGGTGTATGTTAGTGGCGTGCGTGTGTGTGTGTACGGGTGTGTGTGGTGTGAGTGTTGCGTTTGCGCAGGTTGTGTGTATGCTGTCCGTGTATCT